TCTTTTCTTTTCTTTTCTTTTCTTTTCTTTTCTTTTCTTTTCTTTTCTTTTCTTTTCTTTTCTTTTTTTCTTTTCCTCCTTTTCTTTTTTCCCCTTTTCCCACCTCCCTCATATTTTGGAAAACACAGCAAAGTTTTGTTCAGTTCTCAAGTGTTATTAATCACTGATGGAGGCCAAAAGCAGGGATATTTTTCTTGGCAGCACGTTTTGATAAACAATCTGTGTATGGGGTGAAGGGAGGGAGGAGCCTGTCTTGCTGGTAACTAAGCTAATGTTTGGCAGATTCTTAACTGTCACAAAAGTGCAAGTGGCTCTCAGTGGGAATAGCATTAAAAAATGTACCAATTCAGTTGATTCATTGTTGTTGATTGTTTACTACATCCACAGGATGTAAGATGAAAACAGGCCAGGGATAAAGTAAAAATAACAACAGCGGAAGACCAAGCCTCTACATATCCCAGCCTAAAACATGCTGCTCAGTCTCTAGTCCTTTGTGGAGTGAGCAGAATTAATTATAGGTGTCTTATTTTGCTCTGTAAGATTTGGCAAAGGTTAATGTACAGAAATCTAGGCTCTCAGGCAGGTTTTCAAACCTCAAAGACAGCTGTAGGAAAATCAGTGTGGTGTGGGTCTCAACGAGGGACCACTCACTGCTTTGTAGGGCAGAAGCAAGAGGCTGGTGTTGCAGGGGGACAGCAGAGCTGCCCTCGGCTCCATGTTCCAGCACCAATGTGGAAATGGGACCATTAAAAGTGGAGGAAATGACAGGCAACACCCACTAAGAAATGTGTCTGCAAAGGAAGGAAGGAAGGAAGGAAGGAAGGAAGGAAGGAAGGAAGGAAGGAAGGAAAGAAAGAGTGTTCCTAGGTGGGAAAGCAATAAGCTATGTGTGTCAGCAAGGCTCACTACCTGAAGAATGGTAGGAAAAAAACAGAATTATAATGAGATGAGAACTGAAACGATAAACAGAAACATGTAATTACACTCCTATTCTTTGCAACTGAGTGTTTTGACACTTCCTGGCAGCTCCTAGTAGAAGACAATGTTGTTTAACTTTTAATTTGACAAAATTATGCAACTTCTTCCTGAAGTGTTTGTGTTTTGATTTGCTGAACACACTCCCTTTACCACGGAGTGTTCTGTTCACTACTAATCTCTGCATTGTTTTGAAGCCAGTCATTTGATTGTGATGGATTTTATTTTATTTGCTATTCTGAGGTAAATCCATGTAAATCACACTCTCGAGAGTGTGCTTCCCTTCTCATTCTTCTATTTTTTTCCAGCTGTAGCCACTGTTCTGATCAGTAAGGAAAGAGCAATTCCTGTAGGTGAGTGCCTGCAGAAGAACCAACTACTGGGACTGCTGCAGTGATCAGTGCCAAAACTTTGTAAAGCGAGCAGGAAAGAGTTAAACGTATTCCCAGGCTATGAGCATTTAGAGTCAGACCAGACCATTCATTCCCAAGCTGCTGACATCATAGGCTCCTAATTATTACTGCTCGCAAATTTTGGGGCTGTCCTATATTCTGCATAATTAACACTGGACTGGTGATCGATAATCCACAGTACTCCTCTCTCATCCAGATCAACAGTAACCCCCATGTTTTGGGACCTTATGCCTGGGAATGGCACGGAGTAGAGCCTGGGGTGCAGCCAGGCACCTGGGTTTTGTCACTTTGTCCTTCTTGATGTTTTGCACCCTCTGCTTCTCGTACCTGCTGGTAGCACTGGGAAAGGTGCTGGCCGGCTCCTGCATGCTGTGTTTTGTATGTTCATTTCGATTCCTTCATTTAAATCAAAGCTTCACCTGCTGTTTTAATATTACACAGACTTGTATGTGCATGTGCGTACTTCCAAATAAAGACGGTAGTAGGAATAAATAGAAAGGGATTATTGGATGGCAGTATTTATCCTAGGACTGCAAAGAAGAACTTAGTAGATTTAACTTCTGATGGTTAAAATTATATTCCTTCTCCCTTGGGACTACTGGCAGGTTGTAAACTTTGGGTAATCTCCACAGAATCCCTAATGCTGCATCCACAGTGCTGACTTGCGTTCCTGCACAAAAAGCAGTGACTGGGTAGCAATTGTTCACGGCTGCAGCTCCATGCCTCCTTGTGCTCCCCTCCATCTCATTAAACAAGCTACTGTTTGGGGGGTTCTTATGCTATTTTTTGTTTGCTCGCTTCTTTCTTTCAGTTAGCCAGATTAGACACCTGAATGGTTTCATTGTTTGGGCTTCCTCTTTGCCTCCTCCAAACCTAATATTAATTCCTGGATTATTTCAGAGCTAAATAAACACCAGATGTGTTTAGTATAAATCCATCAAGAGCGATCTGGATCACTCCTGCCCCGCCACTTGCATGGCAAAGAGGAAAGGCAGAAGGTGAGCAGGAAAGCATGCTGCTACCCTTGCAGGGACAACGCTGCCATAGATGGGAGTTTTGTTACATTGACACTGTTCAATGTATTTTTCTTTACCAGATTAGATTGATACTGACAACTCATTCCCTGTGAAGGTGCCACGATGTGGCATTTATTTGCATCTACATTGCAGTTCTCTTCATCAATCAGCTTTGCAGAGATCACTGCTGCTGCTGGCCATATTGTTGCTATGCTGACACTTCATCCTTAAGTGCTGCTTGCGTAATGGTACAGTACGTGCCCATGACCAAAGTTTAAATCAAAGTTTAATCATTACGGAAAGACAAACATATTTCCGCGACTGTGTATCCTGCGAGTAAGAGTAAAAGCAGTTTGGTCGGGTCACAGATGTTAATCTCTCCTCTTTTTCTATTCACAAACTATAAAGGGAGTTGACAGCACCTGTAAATGGTTTTCTGAGGCTAGATTATATCTAAGGTGATTATTATTTACACCCACTATACAGACTGCTCTTGTGAGCCAAGAAGTCTGTTCCTGTGAGGTGAGTGTTACCAAAAAAGGGCTTTCTTGCAGGAGGATTCAGTGGAGCGAGGAGACAGGGTGAGGGGCGGTTCATGCTCACACGGAGTGCCTTGTCATGTCTCGGGTTTGTATAACCCGGGGACTGAAACAGTTGGGATATGCTGCAGTTCTGCATTCCCAGACACACTGGATGAAGGGAAAGCTTCAGCTCTCTCAATCTGAGTTTTTAAAGCAGGGGCTGACCTTTTCCCACAGCCCAGTTCTGCTCTTCATATGAAGATCAATACAGGACAGTAAAAGGATAGGAAACCAGTATGTTGACCTACCAGTATGAATCAGAGAGAACACATGCTTGTTTAATCAAGTAAAGACCTATTAACATAGAAATCCTGCAGCCATTACTAAATCGCTGTGGCTGGAAGCAAAGACTTTGACCAGCTTTCACGTGCCATACTTCTGTGAAGCCTCTATAATGTCCACGGTTTAGGTGTGAAATTTCTAAGTGTGAAACCCACTCTCCTTTAGCGCATCTTCTTCAGCCAATCTGCATATAGGAGACTCACATAATTCAAAGACTTTTCTATCTCTGTTCTCTGCTTCTACAAGCTTCCCCTGAAAGAGTCACTTTGTCAGAACTGATTTTCTAACTGTATTTTATTTCATCCAACCATTTCTGTAACTTCAGCGTGTGCATTTCATTAAGCCTTCCTTGTAAACTAATTCCACTCATGTACATATCAAATTCATTTGCCAGCTTTATAGATTATAACCAGACACATATAAAATGTTTTAGATAACTAAAAATGGAAATGAGATGTATTGGCGATACAAACCGAAATATTTAAAGCAACATTTTTTTTCTTGTGTGAGTTCTGAAACGTTATTAACCGAATAGAAAGTATCTTTCCTGCTCGGTGCTGCATGGCTGCTGGGCGTGTGTATGAAAGGGAGCCGTGGCACCGCGCCACAGAAACCGCGAGTCCCTTTAAAGCACAGAAGGAAACCTGTAATGGATGGGGTTTTCGGCGTTTCTAGCAACAAAGGAATCAGGAAGAGGTACTGAAAGAAAGAAACCCATCCACCACAGCCCAGCTGGGAGAGGCTCGGCGCTCCCCCGCCCCTCCGCGGGCACCGTGCGCCGGCTGCGCGCCGGCGACGCGGTGCTGGTGACCGCCCGCCGCGCAGCGCACCGGGTCCCGGCCGAACCGCGTCCCCGCAGTGAGAGTTTATTATTCTTTGGACGCGAGCAGCGATGCCGATGTTTGCAAAAACAGCCGCCGACTGCAGCGAGAGCAAAAGCGGGCTGTGCAGAGCCCCTCCTGGCCACCGCAGGCACCGGCGTGGCCGCGGGGCCGGGCGGGGAGCGGGCAACTTAGGGGATCGCGGGCGGAAGAAGGCAGGCTTCGGGGTTTTTTATTTTGTTTTCCTCCCAATGAAATGAAATCTCAGCTTATTTGCCTGAGTCGAAGTTGTTTTGAGTGATTTGCCTATTAACAGCGTTATGCAAATGTTAGCTAGCTATTTAAAGGGGGAAATAGAAGAAGAAGAAAAAAAAAGCCGTGTATTCTCACAGCGCCGGGGAAATCCTATGTCCCTTTGCATTAGCGAGATGAGATCACAACAATTACTCACCTGCTTGGCCTCTCCTACACCCTTGAGCAACGTACAGCACTAGCTTTCCCAGCCCAACCCTGAACACTTGGCAAATATGGCTGATTTAAACAAATCAAAAGTGGAAGAGCTTCTGATGCAGTCACGGGCTTACAAAAACTGTGTCATTCTGTCACCAGGATCACTGAAAGAGAAACACGAAATCGGATATTAAGGCGGGATCCCCCCATTTGCCTCAGCAGCCGGAGCGCACGGGAATCCCACCGACAGCCGCGGTGGCAGGACGCCGCGCAGCCGCCACGGAAGCAAAGCGGGGCGATTCGCGGGTTTACAAAATCCCGAAAGCGAGGCATCTGAACTTAGAAAGCGCAGTCGGGCCGGGGGGGGCGGGTGGCGGGGGGAGGAAAAAAAAAAAGCCCAACAAAAAAACCACCACCACCACCCTCCATCACCACCACTGTGCATGCGCGCCCTGGCCGCGGTGCCGCGGCGGGGGGCCGGCGGCGCGGCCGGGGAGGAGGGTGAGGGCGCGATCTGGCGTTCAAGTTTCCAAACATAGCCGGCAGCGCGGGCTGCCCGCGCCCCGCCGCGCTCCAGCTGCGGCCGCGCCGGGGAGGGGCGCGGGCAGCGCGCCCCGCATGCGCGCCCCGCGCAACAAGTGGGCTCGGCGCCGGCGGCGGGGGGAGGGGAGCGGGGCGCGGGCGCTCGGCGGTGACGCGGAGCCCCGCCCGGGTGCAGCCGAGCCGGGAGCGCGGCGCGGAGAGGGGAGGGGCGTCGCGGCGCGGGGGGAGCGCGGCGCGGCGGAGGGGGCGCGCAGCCACACGCGGCGGCGCGCAGCACCCCGCGCTCGGACTGCGAGCAGCGGCGACGATGTGAGTGAGGAGCAGGCGGCGCCGCTCACCACGCTGCTGCCGCCGCCGCTGCTGCCCCCGGGCTGCTACAGCTCCGGCGGCGCTCGGGGAAGCCGCCGCTGCCGGAACCGGACAGCTCCGTGCGGGTGCCTCTTTTTCGCTCGCGGCGGCGGATCGGCACGTACCGAACTGCGAGCTCACGAGGCAGCCGTGGCGGGTGGAAGGTGACCCCCCCATCTTCCTCCGTGCACCTCCGCCTCCTCCCGGAGGAGGAGCAGCAGCAAGCGGAGAGCTAGAGAGCGCAGGGAAACAGAAGCGGCTAGAAGGCGACCCCCACCCAGCCCCCCGGAGGAGCAGTGGAAGCGGTTCTCACCCCACCGGGGTAGCAGCGGCAGGACCAGGTAGAAGAAGCCGTCTCTGGCAGCAGGCGCGAAGTAAAAGCAGGCGATCCCCCTGCTGAAAGGGGCAACAGGATCAGGTACGGAGAGCCACCCCCCCTGCAGCCCGGGGGGGAAGACTGAACCAGCCCCTACCCCGGCGGCAGTGACAGCAGCTCCCCGGCCAGCAGCACCATGTCCGCCGCGCAGGTGTCCTCGTCGCGGAGGCAGTCATGTTACCTGTGCGACCTGCCCCGCATGCCCTGGGCCATGATCTGGGACTTCACGGAGCCCGTCTGCCGGGGTTGCGTTAATTATGAGGGCGCCGACCGCATCGAGTTCGTGATCGAGACGGCCCGGCAGCTGAAGCGGGCGCACGGCTGCTTCCAGGACGGCCGCTCTCCGGGCCCCCCGCCGCCGGTCGGCGTCAAGGCAGTGACGCTCTCCGCCAAAGAAGCGGCGGCGGCGGCCCAGCAGCAGCTCAACCATGTGGATGCCACCTCCAAGGCAGCCTCGGCGGGGCTGACCCAGTCCAGCCTGGACCGCTACGGGCTCAGCGCCGCCGCGGCGGAGCAGCGCAGCCGCTTTGAGTACCCGCCGCCGCCGGGCAGCCTGGGCAGCAGCCACGGCGCCCGCCTGCCCAACGGGCTGGGGGGGCCCAATGGCTTCCCCAAGCCGCCTGAGGACGGGCCGCCGGAGCTGAACCGGCAGAGCCCCAACTCCTCCTCCTCCTCTTCCTCCTCCCGCCGCGGGGCGCACGGGGGGCTGGTGTCCGGCCTGCCCCCGGGGGCCGCTGGCGCCCAGATGAACGTGCCCCCCAACCTGCTGCCGCAGACCCTGCTGAACGGACCCGCCGCCTCCGGCGTGGCGCTGCCCCCGCCGCACGGGGGCCTAAGCGGCCGCGGCGGCGGGGGTCCCCCGACTCCCTCCGCCTCCTCACAAGGGGGCACCTGCGGCGGCGGCGCCGGGGGAGGCGGCGGCTCGTCCTCCGAGGCCTGCGGCAAGCGGCCGGGCTCGGTGTCCAGCAGCGACCAAGAACGGGAACTGAAGGAGAAGCAGCGCAACGCGGAGGCGCTGGCCGAGCTCAGCGAGAGCTTGCGGAACCGGGCCGAGGAGTGGGCCAGCAAGCCCAAGATCGTTCGGGACACGCTGCTCACTCTGGCCGGTTGCACCCCCTACGAGGTGCGCTTCAAGAAGGATCACGCCCTGCTGGGTCGCGTCTTTGCCTTCGACGCCGTCTCCAAGCCGGGCATGGACTATGAGCTGAAGCTCTTCATCGAGTACCCTAGCGGCTCCGGCACCGTCTTCTCCAGCGCCTCTGGGGTGGCCAAGCAGATGTACCAAGACTGCATGAAGGACTTCGGCCGCGGCCTCTCCTCAGGCTTCAAGTACCTGGAGTACGAGAAGAAGCACGGCTCCGGCGACTGGCGTCTGCTGGGGGACCTGCTGCCCGAGTCCGTGCGCTTCTTCAAGGAGCTGGTGGGCGCCGACATGCTGCCGCAGCCCTACCTGGACGCCAGCTGCCCAATGTTGCCCACGGCGCTGGTGAGTCTCCCGCGGCCGGGGGCCGGGGCCGGCGGGGCGCAGGGCACGGCCGCCGCCTCTAGGGGACCTGGCGGCGGCGGCGGCGGCGGCGGGGCGATGCGCAAGAGGAAAGCCTCTCCCGAGCCCTCGGACTCGGCCGAGGGGGCTCTGAAGCTCAGCGACGAGCAGCAGCGGCAGCAGTGGATGGCCAGCCAGAGCGAAGCGCTCAAGCTCACCATGTCGGCCGGGGGCTTCGGGGCGGTGCACGGCGGGGGCCCCCCGCCGCCGCCGCCGCCGCCCCTCGGGCCTCACTCCAACCGGACCACGCCGCCCGAGTCCGCCCCCCAGAACGGACAGTCCCCCATGGCCGCGCTCATGTCAGTGGCCGACACGCTGGGCAATGCCCACTCGCCCAAGGACGGCAGCTCGGTGCACTCCACCACGTCCACCCGCAGGAACAGCAGCAGCCCCGTGTCGCCGGCCTCGGTGCCGGGCCAGCGCCGCCTGGCCTCCCGCAATGGGGACATGAACCTGCAAGTGGCCCCTCCTCCCCCCAGTGCCCACCCCGCCATGGACCAAGTGCACCCCCAAAACATTCCGGACTCCCCCATGGCCAACAGCGGGCCCCTGTGCTGCACCATTTGCCACGAACGCTTGGAGGACACCCACTTTGTTCAGTGCCCCTCTGTGCCCAGCCACAAGTTCTGCTTCCCTTGTTCCAGAGAGAGCATCAAGGCCCAAGGAGCAACTGGCGAAGTCTACTGCCCCAGCGGAGAGAAATGCCCCCTAGTCGGTTCCAATGTGCCTTGGGCATTTATGCAGGGCGAGATCGCAACCATTTTAGCTGGGGACGTTAAAGTGAAAAAGGAGAGAGACCCTTGAGTAGGAAATCAAATCCCTTCAGACTCCTGAAGATGTAGAATTGTGAATATAACAAACTGCAAAAGTTAGTCTTATGTATAGACATTATTTTCGTCGTATGTTTCTATATTTTGAAACAAAGGTATGTACTCTTCTTCATTTGAAGGATAGAGCTGGTTTTTGTTAAACAGAATATAATATTGTTTGGTTACTACATAATACCTGTTCTCATTTCTTTGGCAGTGTGTTGGCTAGGTACAAAGTTAATAGCCCTTAGCGATTACCTGCTGCTGGTGTGTATTTTTGTAAATGTATGCACTTCTCTGAAAGAAGAAGAAAAACACAAAAAAAGACAAAAAAAATTTTTTTGCCAAGGCCAGTGTTGATGCCTAAAAAATTGCTACAAAAATGGTGACAGCTTATGTTTTACAAGCCCTGAGTGTTAGTCTTTCACTTTATTTTTTTCGTTTTTGTTTTTTTGTTTGCAAAACGGTGGGGTGGCGCTGGGGGGAGGGTTTTTTTGTTGCGAGTTTGTAAGGAAAATGTTTCAGTTTGTTTCTATTGATCTGAACGTTTTTAATCTTCATGTGTTTTTTGTTTTTGCTTTTATTGATGCACGGATGCTTTTGAACAGTAGAGCAAAATGCTGTACATGAAAAACATGCTCTGTTTGTCCTTTATACATTTCTGTAGTTAACAGAACACTGTAATGTGCCTTGGAGCTTAGTAAATTGTAATAAATTCAATTGATATTAATACTTCCCGAGTAGCAAGTTTTATTTTCCTCAGAACTTAGGCAGCGTGCGCAAGCCATGTTGCCTTTTTAAAGGTCTCCATTTTACCAAAAGCCTGCAGTTCGTGGTGATAATTGTGGCACTTTTACGCATATTTTCACTTATACGTAGTAAGATGATGATGGTGTTATCAAACTTATCTAAATCTTGGCACTGTGCCTATTTACATTTCACCTTTAATGTTGCAGTAACGGTTGCTGACTAAGCATTTTCTATTTACTGTTTCTGCATCTCATTTCCTCCTCCCTTCTCCTCCCCCCACCAGTTCTCCAGCTGCAAGCTGTTTGCAATACAGGATGCATCCATTGCCTGCGCAATTTAATAAGGCTTGAGATTTGAAAAGAAGCCCTTTTTCCCCAAAAAACCCCACCCCAGCATCATGTGGTTAATAATTTTAGCTGATTTTAAGAGTGGTTGTCAAAGTTTGACATTAGCCATAAACTCTTGGTAAGGCAGGACTATAGCTGAGCACAGCACAAAAAAAGGTAGCATGAAATAACAACTTGTACAGTTGGTGTTGCAGCTGGTGGGTTGCTAGCCCGTTCAGGCACTGGCTTTTCATAACTTGAGTTGGTGAACAGTTCTGGGGCTACATTGTTTTTTCAGGGGAGGAAAAGCTTCCTTAAAGCACTGAAGGGAAATGCTTTCTTTTGGGCAACCATTATATATGATCCTTTGTATAATGAACTATTTTATATGATATTGGCATTTTCTGGAGATAGGGGAGCAGTGTAATGCCTGTTAAGTGATCAACAGACAAAGTAAATACACAGGCCTCATGCTAGCTAGAAAATGCAAACAAACCTAACGTGAACTTTGTTCTTTCCAGTGAGGCAAATGGAGGAAAGAGGAAAAACCCGAAACAAAACCAGCAGCACTGCAGAAATCCTTTGCAGTTTGACCAGCAGAACATAGAGCTGTTCCAAATGGAACACTGTCATAGGTTATGAGCTCTTAGTTTTATTGAATAATAAGGATTCCCAAAACGCCATAATTGTATAAAGGGGAAAAGTCTGGATGGTATTTGGTCTCTGCTTGGTCTTAATACATTTTTTTCATTTGTATTCCTGGCGGGAAGGACGGTAAAAGCCATGAGACTATATGCTTAGTGTGCCAGCAGGTCTTTGCTCTCTTGTATAGATACACACTTTGGCTATTTTTTGTGTGTGGGGAGGGAGTGGAGATTTGTTACATTTTGAGATTCACTATTTGGCATCACTATATCTGTGATTTCAGACAATGACTTTGTGTGTGTATGTGTATTTTTTTTTTCCTGCCAAGTGATACATTGGTGCTTAAAAATCTATGAACATGTTCTTATGTAATGGATCAGAGGAAATAATGCAGAAAAAGAATGTTCTGAGTTAATTGTTGGATACAACTTACATGTTTTTTAGGCTACAGATTGGTACTGATCCTGTTTTCAGTTATTTTTAAGCATGCAGTTCCCACAGAGCAGTTTATTTCTAAATCACGAGATAGGGGGACTAACATTGTGAGCTCATGACTGACAGAGAAAAAAAATTGTACACATGGTTGAAATTGGAGTTTAAACCTAAGGAGAAGAAAAGTAATATTCATGTGTGAATTGCAACTGCCATTAAAAGAGAAGAACTACTGGCTATTCAACATTTAATTATGTCACAGAAGCGTGAATACCCTGATTTATATAAACAGAACCACTCCTGTAATCTTGAAATCATTCATCACTAGTTGTATTTAGAAACAGATCAATTTAGTGGATTTTTTTAATTGAAGAGCATTCTTGAAAAGCTCTTACAATTTTTTGAAACATAAGCCTACTTATGAGACTCATCAATTTGATTTTTAGCAGGCAAAGGAAAGGTAAGGGGCAGTAGACATAGGTGGAAAATAAGCTTGAAGTGAATTGTAATACTGCATTTAATTAAAGTTAACCATAGCTACAGGGCATTTGTTGTATGGAGATTTTTTGTAACCATGTGACCTTTTCTTTTACTCTAGCTCATTAAGCAGCCAGTCTGGGCATATTAGCCAGCATTTCTTTGAACCCACTCCATAGGTTTTTCTCTTTCTGGAGATGTCCACAGCTGACAAACAAGTTGTTACCTTTTTTCAAGGAGGAGGAAAAGGGAGCTGCCAAGTGAGTCTCATGTACAGAGATTCAGCTGATTTTTGTATTTTACAGTAATGATCCCATCCCCCATATTTGCCAGTTATTTAAGGTACAGCCCAATGTTTGCCTGAATAAATTGTGTAAGTTAATTTATTTTTCCAGGTGGTCATTTGTTGTGCTCTCATTCCTTCTTGTAATGGGGAAGTATTTAAATGGTTTATTTTCCCAAGGAGGATTGTTGTGTTTTGTTTTTTTTCCAGTTAGATTATTCTTGACATTTCTTTTAATAGCCTTGTAGCCTATTTTCTTAGAAATGGGTTAGAACATGTGTGTCACTGGATGTTTGTTTTTTAAGCATTGGCAGCTGTGTGTGAGTTGGAGATAGAAATGTTTGTGCAGTGAAGAGATGCTATGTCCATCTGGGGAAAACACTACACAGTTCCAACAGGAGCTTGAGTTTACCAATGGTAACTGGTGTAATTTAGTACAAACCTTGTTATCTTTTCTATTTGCTTAAGAATGTTGTGCATATGAGCATGCTCTCCTCCCCAAACTAGTGAGGACTAACATTGTTTTGAAACTGCAATCTTTTCAAATAGGCTGGCTGCCAGCACAGCTTTGCAGAGCTGCAGCAGTCACTGGAAAGAGGGTTGTCTGCTTCTTTAGTGTCTTGTGAGCTGAGATTTTCTTCCCCTCAAGGGAAAGGGCTTTGTCTCGTCAGAGCTCTCAGGTTCCCAGCTTACTATGCAGTAGTTATCTTGCAGCTTCCCTTTTCTCTAGGTCTTGCCTTTTTTTTTTTTTTTTTTTTTGTGTGCAGTCATTCTCCATTCATTGTAGAGTGGATTGTGTTGTGCATTAGCAGCCTCTTTCTCTGCCAAAGTGACACATCCTGTAGATTTGCAGCAGAGTACTAAACTGTCACTGTAGTGCTGAGTCTTGTAAGGCTATTCTTGAAGCAGAGCAGCTTCCCCCTTGGCATTCAGCCATCAGAATCCATTACAGAGTGCATTTTCTACCCAAAACATAGCTCTATACCTACAGAGTTGTCCTTACAACCATCCCTTGGAAGACAGAGGGGGAGATAGTTATGCTCTCCTGTATAGAAATATGCACTGCTGTTTTTATCTTCAAAGTGTCTGAAAACCATGTACCGAGCTTTTGTTGTTTCAGCCTCTGCCTTAAAACCTGTAATGCAGACTGGGAAGGGGAATGCCTCTTCTCACGGGGGTGATACAAAAGGAACTGCACACAAGGTCTTTCCCCAGCTGTATGTCTTAAAAGAAGAATTAAGTGTGTGTGGACTGAGTGAGGCTATTACAGGGCTCCTATGATGAGGCAGACAAACATCTCTGTCTCCATGTGTTTGCCACAGGGCAGCCCAGCCCCATGCTGCCACCCCTAACTGGGTGGCTCTGTAGGAATCCAGTTCTCCCTGGGAATGGGCTTGCCTACCTCCATGAAATATGTCATTTCAAGTTTCTGACAGCAAACCCACTCTCTTTTAGCCATTCAGGGAACTGTAGAGTGAACAGCCGATGAGAGCAGTTAGACGTGAATGGGAGGGGGAGGATGCTCATCATCATGGTCTGTCTGGCCAGTACGGTCTCTGACTGGTTGGACTGGCTGAGCTACTTCGGGCTAGGTAGGTTCGAGATTGCAAGGTCTGACTGCTGTGCTTGGCTTAATGCAATGAGCCTTGCTGGTATCAGTGTGCGTTGCTGACAGTGGCTGCAGCTACCCTGAAGTGTCCTCTCTCCTCATTCACTGACACAGCCACACTTCCTGCTGCCGAGACTGCATTCCCCTCGCTGCTGTGTGCCTTGCCTTCCCGATGCGCCCTTGTAAGGTTACTTGGAGGCGGTGGGAGCAGGGGTGGAGGTGAGGAAGGTCAAGCTTCTTAGGTTTCAGCTGATTTGGCATCCGCTCACAGCCCTCCCCTGCTTGGCCATATGCACTCACTGCTGCTTTTATTACCCTTTGCAAAGAAACCTCTAAGATGTGAACTGCTGCAAATAGCAATTTATTTTCAGGAAAACACCCCTTTCTCACACAATCAGCATTATCAGCAAGAATACTCTGGTTTTCTGTTGTCCCCAAAGAGTTCTACAATGGAGAGCTGTGCCTTTCTCTTTTGCTGGCACTGCTCTCCTGACAGTACCGAGTGTGTCAGGAGAACCGTTCCCCCAAGTCTGCTTCACTGGGCTATCTTCCTCTAATTTTTGGCCAGCGCAAAGGCTCTTTGCTTTGTTTTAGTCCTCTATGAGTGGAGGCTGAGCCTGGCAATCCCACCGCAGCACGGAGCGGCTTGGCACGGCTGCGGCATAGCAGCTTAGGCGGGGACTGAACCGAACTGAACCAAACCGGGCTGTGCCGGGGAGGGGTCAGCGGGTCGCCACAGCATGCAATTGCCGCTGGCTTGGGCCCGACCTAGACAGCCATGTGATTGCCTGCCTGTCCGCTTGCCCTCCTGCCTGCCCGCCTCTGCGCAAGAGATGGGAACGGGGACATGAAACATGTCTGTGCAGCTTCAAGGAGCCGAGCAGAATTCCCCGCTGTCATCATCCTCCTTCCCTCCCTCCCTGCAGGCTGCCAGAGGGGAGGGCTGACTACAGCTCCGCTATTGTTCAAGTAACCTACAAATGGATTTGCATGGAGGCAGGTTGGGAGGGGCAGAGGGGTGGGATTTATTAGCAGCAGCTAAATTCGTCGGGATTACTATTAGGCTGAGAGCTTCTCAATGGGAATGATCCCTGGGTGAGCGGTGGGGTGGAGGGGAGGGACTGGAAAGCTCCTTTTCTGCAAATAGGTGAAGGGGTGGCTGGCTCCAGCCGAGCAGGAGAGGCAGGCGGGGGGACGGCGCTTCACCTCG